AAGCTCACATAATTGCTGCAGAACTCAGCTCCTTGACACAGCAAGACTGAGCTCTCAGCTTTGCTGGGTGTCTGTGTGGGAACGTCTTCCCTCCACTCCTGAAGGTTCATTCTCCTTCTTTGCTATATGGCCCTGCTCACATGCAAAGCCAGGGAAAGTGACTCTATCTCATTGAATCCTTCTAATTTAGAGAACTTACGTTTCCAGGAAGAGTCCAAGGCCCTTTAGGCATCATTTGGTTGGACCAACTTCTGTCCTTCAAGGATAATCTTGCATTGTTAATGTCAACTGACTGGCATTTTTGTTGTGTGAGCAAACTTACTTTTCTAGTTGTAATTGTCTTAGGGAATCTAAGGCATGCAGTCTTACATGCATGGGGAGAGAGAGAGAGAGAGAGAGAGAGAGAGAGAGAGAGAGAGAGAGAGAAAGTTGCATGGGCTAGTATGTCAGGGATTTGGGAGATAATCTTAGAATTTTGAGTTTTTGTAGACACACCAGAAAAGCCATAATAATCCTGAAGCATTAAGTCAAGACGTAGCTAGAATTTTAATACTATAAATTTTATTATGATCTTTTGCCAAAGCTCATTTTCTATGTTTTGGAGAATTGCATATGTACATTTTATAATTTTTTTTTATTTCTTGACATTATATAATTTCCCCTTCCCTTTACTTCTTCCAGCTCCTACCATGCATGCACCCCCAATCTCTCTAATTCAAGGTCTTATTTTATTTAATTGTTATTGCACACCCCCACCCCCATACTTCTAAATACACAAACACAAACTGCTCAATCCATATAATGTTACTTGTATCTATATGATCTCAAGGTTGTTGCCCACTGGTATTGGATAAAAGTTGAGGGACTCTTCCCTGGGGAAGACTTTCTCTCATGATCAGCATTTTCTGTTTCCAGTAGTTCTTTGGAGTTAAGGTTCCATGAACTTTAGCCTTGGGGTTAGCATGTCCAGTGGTGTTGTCTTTGTTTAGGCAGACATGTTGATGAGACTTCCTGGGCATAGTCGCAAAAACTTCCTGTTTCTCTGGCTTTTAACAATCTTTCCACACCCTACTTCAGCAATAATATGAGGCTCACGTACAGGAACTGTGTTGTATCTGCTGGGACTTGGCATTACACGATCTCTTGTTTTTCTGCATTTTGATCAGCTGTGGTTTTCATAATGGTCTCTATTGCAAAGGAAAGTTTCATAGTGAGGAGTCAGAACATTTATTTGTGGACATAAATATAAATATTTAGAATGTTTTCAGAGCTTATACTGGTTTAGTAAAATAGCTATTGTAGGTTTACTCCAAGATTTATGGTGCCACTAGCCCTGTGTATTTGGTTAGGTTTCCAGGCAGTGTTTCCCTCTTGCTGAACTGGCCTTAGGTACAATTGAAGAGCTTTTGGTTACCACCAAGGTATATACATGCTGCTACTGTACCCCTAGGATTATTTGCCTGGTTGTTGTAGTAGTTCATGGTTATCAAGGATTCATTGCCTCCCTCCTTTGGAAGTTTGCATGTACCATGATAGTTATCCTCAGCAAGGAAACTTTCAGGCAAGATCCAGCTCAGGTCCTCTATGTCCTATGTCTGAAGTTCATGATGTCTTCAGCAGTAGGTTCTTACCTTCCACCTCTGGGAGGTGATCAAGTGCAACAAAAAAGAGCCCATAATATTTTGGGGCATCTCTTGGACAAGCTTTACCAACAACTAAAAAGGGGGATTTTCATGCCTGGTGTTGGTGCTTTTGATACATTGTCTATGGCTTTTTTGGACAGCATTGTCAGGCCAGAAGGGAAATTTTCATTTAAACTATATGTTTATATGTGTTATAAGTGCATTTGAAGAAAATGAATGGTCCCTTAGCCCTTTTAGCCAGGTCCATTTTGCAGAAATGGCATCCTGGGTGTCAATAACAGCCAGATTGGAAGCAAGGGTTAAACACTTACCTGCAGACCACACCCTCCTTAGTCCCATCTCTGTCTTTTTAGTAATAAGTTCATTTTTCTGGGTGTCATCTTCCTGATGAGGAATGGAAGCTTGGGAGCATAAGGGGAGAGTTGCTAGCCATAGCTTGTATAGAATAAAAGTGAATGCCCTTGGAGTATCTTTCCCAATACCGAGATAACTGTTCTTAGACCATTTTATGCTTAATTAATTTCCTTAATGCCATAGAAAGTCAGAGCCGAAATGGATCTTAGAGAAGTGCCTAGTCTTTCACTCCCCTTGGGGAGGAGGAGGTAATGGCACCTGACACTTTTGTAAATCAGTAGCTTAATGGACATCTAAATGGGTTTATATAAAACATTGGAGGTTTCCCCCTAGCATTCTTTTGACAGGGACTAGCTATATAGTTCAGACTGGCCTTGAACTCATGATCCTCCTGCCTCAGCCTTTTGAGTGTTGAGATTATAGAATTGTACCACCATGTCTAGCTCAATTGATTCGAGTCAGCTCAGTTTGGTTTCTAAATGTCCAGTTCAGTGACTCAGCATTTCCCCCATAACAGATTAGAGAAAGCTAACACATTTGTGTCAGTGACAAGAGCTAGACTCCAGCAGAAATCTGCGGCCGTCATTTTAAACCGAGTGGTAGACACCCCCCTGACACCCCTTCTCATACTTACCACCAGAGAACATGCTAGCATCTGGGTGTGGTAATGAGGGCAGAGTGCGGGAAGTTTTCATCAACCCCTGGGAGGTTCTTATGTGTTCTGATTGAGAATTTTAGACCTTTATTTTTTTGCTGTGTATCGCTTTCTTTCTGTCATTGAACTGTCCTCTTCCATTTCTCATTATTTCTTCATAGAATCTTCTAGTCCTTGAGTAGTCATCGACTCTGTCACAGCAACTCATTCCCAATTTCTCTTGTGCCAGGCAGCTTGCTTGTGACATTCCTTCCAGCTTGCTCCCTAACTGCTTGGTGTGCAGAGACACCTTACTTCCCAGGGATCTGCTGGGGTCGCAGTTCAGGCCTTCCTTCAGTCCAGCTGGGACTTGCTGTGCTGTGATTTCTCCTTGCTGGGAGGGCTGTAGCTGTTCTCCCAACTTCTTCTTGTCTGTGGTGGAGTCCAGTTCACTCAGCCATTGCCAATGCTGTCAGGTCCTCACTCTTGTCACCTTCCTTTTGGTCAGTTCTCTGTTTCAACTTCAAATGTTGCTTGTTGGTCACATGCTTCTCTCTCATGCATCGTTGAGGCCATGACATTCTGACAAGTCAGGTTCCCTGTGATCCTGTTCTCCATCCTGCAGGACTGACAGACATTTTGATTAGTGTGGGGTATCGAGATGGCTCAGCAGGTAAAGACACTCACTGCCCAGGTCTCAGTACATGAACTTAATCCCCAGGACACGTGGTAAAAGGAGAGAACCAACTTCTGTAAGATGTTATTTGACCTACATACAATACACACAAAATTAATTTATTACATTTTCAAGGAAATTGGGTAATTTTCCTTCACTAATTTGGAATACTTGTGATCTTCAACAGCAGATATGTTGACTCTACTGTGGATAGGACAGAGCATTAGATTCTGAAGCACTGATATTTCCAAGATAGAATTTATAATTTTGTCATGTTATAGGGATTAATATAAGCATTTCACCTTTATTTAGTCTGCAAGCTTAATATAAGAAACACATGGCTGGCATTTTGGAGGAAAGCCCATGAACTTCCACATTGACACCAAGGGCAGAAAGGCTTCATGGGGTTAATCTCAGAGGAATGTCAGTACCTGCTTGAGACAGAAGGCAGGAGCAAAAAGGCCCTTGAGCTAGCACACACCCCTGTATAGGCACACTTTAAAATTCTTTCACTGTGTGTACTTGGCTTTGTTGTCAGAGAAAAACAGGTCTCATACATGAAATTCCAGTCTATAGGATTATCAATGGAAGTCAAACATAACATTTTAGAAGTTCTGAACCAGTCTTATTTTGAGTCTTAGTATGCATGTAAACAGCTTCCTTAATAACCTGAAGTCCCTCTTGTTTACATAAAACGATCTCTTTGCAGTCTGTGGCTTATGAGTTAAGTCTTCTCTTCGAGAGTCAATTTGAGAAAAGGCCAGAGACACCTGTATTTTCCTAGTCACAGTCAACCAAAGGGCCTAGTGGTTACAAGAGCTTCTTCACCAGTCAAGGAACCCTTGTCCCTTGATGGTGGTTTTGACACTGTGCACACACAGGTATTCCAAAAACAAACACACAATACCTGTAGTTCCCAGTTACCAAGCATGTGCCTTAAGCCTTTTAAATATATAATTTTCATTAGTAGTAGAAATCCTCCAACAAATAGAGTCTGTGTCATTCAAGGGAGACACTGGAGAACGGAGGTGTTCAGACATTGTCTACAGTCACACAGATTTTGAGTCAGAGTTGACTTTCACACCTGGCAGTGCAGCCAGAGCCTGTTCTCCACTGCCACCTGCCCTTCTCCAGAGCACAGGACAGGGGAGTGTGGTAAGACTCATGCAAATCCAGTTCTGGGGACTTCCTAAATAGCATGCTTTGTTCTATGGGACTGGGGCAGTAGATCAATGGGTAAAGTGCTTGCAGTACAAGTTTGAGGGTCTGAGTTCAGATCCATAGAATCCACACAAAAGACGGGGGCCCAGCACTGGAGAGACAGGGTCAGTTCTGCCCCTCGAGCTCAGTGGTCACAACAGAGTCTAATCAGTGATCTCCAGGTTTGGGAGAGACCCTGATTCAAAGAGCAAGGTGGAAAGCTGTTTAGGAAGACATCACATCAGATGTTAACCTCGACTCCACACAGGTGCACATATCTACATATAGTCAAAGAATAGGTGCTGAATAAATTATATATGAAATGTGTTTTGCCTCTCTCTCTCTCTCTCTCTCTCTCTCTCTCTCTGTGTGTGTGTGTGTGTGTGTAAACAGTTTTGTTTCTATCTTCTACTAGAATAATAAGGATATATTTGAGACCATTAGCAATGAGTGTGGTAAACACTAATTATGATTTTGTTTCCTTTCTCCACAGCTTCCTGGTTTTCTCCAAATGAAAAGATCCTTATTGTTATTTTCCCGATTTTGGCTATACTCCTCTTCTGGGGAAAGTTCGGTATTTTAAGTAAGTATTCGAATGCACTTTTTCATTTATGCTTTAATGACACAATGGTTATTTCTAGGGAATTACCAGTGGGATAGTCTATCTCACTAGCCTCTATTGGGAAAAGTGTTAAAATGGTAATTAAAAATAACCAATTTACATGTAGTTTTTTAAAGCATATACTGCCATCTCCCCATATTTTGCTACAGTTCATATTTAAGTTTAAAGTGTTTAGTTATGTGTGGTATTTTGAGATCTCTGTGGGAGGGATGAGTAGAAATGTTAGTAACAACACCTTAAATCCTGTGACATGGTTATTTACAAATGTTGTTTTATTTGGTAAACAGATGGTCATAGAGACAGATCCTTTGCTCTGGGGCCCTGAGATGCTCTGCCTCATTTCCCCCAATTTAAGCTTGTCTGTGGACAAAGGCCTGTTTGTGCCTGTTGTCCAGATCGGCAGTTTGACAGCCACATAACCAAGTCTCTGAAGGTCAGACCTGATGCCGTGTCTCATTTGCCTCAGTAGTATAGAATTGTCATCACAGGGTAATCTGTTATATGCATTCTAGTTCAGGCTTATACTTAATAGTATCTACATACACTGTTCCACGAGGAACATGCCAATCTCTCCTCAGTGTTTCCATTCCAATGTAGTAAGAGAAATTGACTAATTTTGAAGTTCTGAGGTGATAGACTAAACTTGCAAACTTGTAAAATATAAGATCTACTCCCCTTCTGAGCCCCCGGCATAGCCATTGAAGACCAGGAAACACCTCTTCAAATAAGGAGCAAATGGTGCGCACTAAATTTGCTCCCCAGTCTTTAAGAGGTGAACACTAGGGAGTCAGTGCAGAGGACGCCTGCTGGATAGTTCCTAGGAAGGGTGAGGCTGTGTGTTCTCAGTGAAGCGGACAAACAGAAGAGATGTGACTGATGGTTTATTTGAAGAGCTTTGCCCAGTGCATGGGGCTCTGGAAATGCTTAGTGACTTCAGAAATGTCTCTGGGTTGTGTCTCAATGGGAAAAGAGAACAAGGGCTGACATTGTAGCCCTTACCTCCAAGACAGTGAGGTGCTGTTGGAAGTTATCTCAAAATTCCAGAAAGCCTCTTATTTTAAGGAAGGAGCTGATATGGCCTTGCCTCATAATCACTGGAGTTAAGGAAAGCTTTCAGCCACATTAGCAGAGCCAGGCTTTCAGGGCTGAGTCACATGATCCAGGAAGAAAATAGTCTTTTAAGGATCAGACAGTGATTTCATAGCTGTGCTGTTGAATTTAAGTTGACAGAAGTTTCCTGGTTATGACATTATCATTAGCAACACCATTTTCAGTGGAATGGATCAGAAATGAATCTGTTTATGATCAGCCACATTAATACAGAATAAGACTAATGGGTTTTTTTTTTCTGACTATGGAATACATTATATAAGAAGTTACCAAGAAAATAAGTCATCTCTTGGCTCTATATCTAGGAATAAGGGTTGTTTCGGGTTTTGTTTGTTGTTTGTTGTTTGATTCTAGTAACCTTCCAGCTTCCCTTTCTGTCTTTTCCTCCTTTTTGCTGCTTATCTCCTATGAAAGGAAAGTGTAACTGTGCTCATACAGCTTATGTATTTGTGCATCCTTGTGTCCCAGTTGTCTTCAGAGCGTTGCCATGGCTGCTTGTGCTCCCCTGTTACGGCTGTGCCGTATTTTATTGAACTTTTGTCTTAATGGGTATTAAGAGATACTGTGAAACTCTGATGAAAGTGTGTGAGCTTTTGGGCGTCAGTGGTATTTTTAAGTCTACAGATAAATTCTACCAACACGTGTTCCAGACCCACCTTTTCAATTCCTGCTACCACTGATGAGAATGTCCACCGTTCATCTCAGGGTCCTGACAATGTTATCCTTCTAAAAACCTTCACTAATTTGATGTGTGGAAAGAAAAAAAAAAGATTGTCAGTGTTGTATTAGTGATTTTGGACAATCATTTAAATGTTTTTATTATACCAGTTGCATTTTAAAGAGTTATGTATGAAGCTAAAAAAAATATTTAAGGGAAATATTCGATTTTGGGTCATCTTAAACAAAGGAGGAGTGTGAGGGGGAGAGTATTAGTGGGCATGTGGAAGATGAACCTCTGTATTTGTCTTACAGACAGGCCTCACGCTTAAAGTTGAGTTGTTATAATAGCGGCTGAATATTTTGCGGGGCTCTTGCTCTGAGGAGCGATCACTCACTGTGCCAAGTGCTCTCCACCATTTATTTCCCACAGGGACTCTGCCAGTGCTGTGACTATTGTTGTTCCTATTTTGAAGATAAGAGACAGGCAGTTTGTCCACAGTCACCCAGCAGTTTCCTGGTAATCCTGGATTTGGACAGTACTGTTAACCACTAGATTGTCTGCAGGAAAGATGCATGTGTATCTAGCATACCACTTTGAGACTATGAAACTCCTAGTAGTAGAGTAGAATTTTTGTCTCTCATGTGGATCTTTTTCCCCCCAGTACCTACTGGCAGGCTGTCTGGTGACTGTGGGGCACTGAGCTAAAGGTTTGAGGTGTGGAAGTGAGTGTCCAAGCATGTTGGCTTTGGGGCCACCACATGTCTATCAGTGCAGTCAAAACGGTGCAGCTACCTATCTTGTACTTGGCCTCACTCACTCACTCACTCACTCACTCACTCACTCACTCTCTCAATTAATCACTTTCACCCTTTATGTAAAAGGCTCCTTGGTTATGTCTTGCTATCCCACCTGTGAGGTCATACATTAATGGTAACATAGACCCAAGAATTTCCCTTTCTGATTTTCTAGTTCTTTTTACCTTTCCACCCTGGTCTGTACTTGACCACAGTTCTTTTTAACTTTCCACCCTGGTCTGTATTTGACCACAGGACATTCCTCTCAGTGGTCTTTCTGGCTCTGCATGTCAATCTGTTGTGCTGCAAAAAAAAACCTAAACCTTTAAAGACAGTTCTTTTACAGAAAACAGTGTCTTGAACCACAGCCCAGGACAACTATGGCCTTTGGTTGGTGATGGAGTGTGACCTGAGAGTTCTAAGCTGAAATGAACCCTTTCCTTCACAAGTTGCTTTTGGTCACAGCAGTAGAAACCTTAAGACAGGTCCCTTATCTTGTATCAACTCAGTCATTCATGTTGTTGACAGGCTCCTGCCTGATTTTCAGGGTTCTCCATCTACACGGAGGTAGCATAAGTTCTTTCCTATATTTAGCTGACTGATAGGTGCTTTCAAGTGCTGTGCATAGTATTGTAGTTTTTTCAGGCTTAAGGCCCACCTATATATAAAGAGCTGGCTGTTGTCCAAGGTTCTTTGTCACAGGCATATCTGTTCTTTGTTTTCCTTTCCTTTAACCCTTGTCCTACACAGGTGATCCTTTGCTTTGCACTCAGCTGCATGGCCATGAACCTGACCATGGAAGCTGAGCTCTGCAAAACAGTCTTGATAATAGACAGGAAAATTGCTATCATACAGTGGCCTTCAAAATATGTTGTCAAAACAAGCTGGGTTGGTGATCCTAGCACTACAGAGCAAGTTCCAGGCAAACCAAAGCCTGCCTCTGCAAAGTCTTTGACAATATAAAATCTTTCCTAGTTTTTGGAAAATTAAAATGTTAGTAAAGTTAATAACTACTGCATGGAGAGTCAGACTATTTAAAATTCAGTATTTACAGCATCAATATTAAGGCTTGAATGATGCTTTTGGTCCCCTGGTAAAATGTCAGGCTCCCTTCTTAGTTCATATCAGCTTGCAACATTTCATCTTCATTCTTTCAATGAAACATCTCTGAGTTCTATGGTGTGTTTTTTTTATTTGATATTTTTGTTGTCGTTTGTTTACCAGACTCACATCCTCAGGGTCATTGTTGTTGTCACATGGTCCTTACTTTCTCTTTCATGTCAGTGAGTTCACCTTCCCTGAGCTGCTGGGCTGCCTCTTGAGCTACCTCCATTATGATCTTGTCACCATACCAACAGTGGCTCTTCTGGTACTCTGTTATGGTCTGAATTTCACAGCCAGTGCACACTTGTCATTTCCTGGCTCTATCACCTCTCTTGCCCAGTTTCCTTTTTTGATAAGTGTCCTGTAGGTTTGTCACTGAGAAATGAGGAGACATAACTACACACTTGGCTGTCTGTGCATGCACTGAAGAATACATGCAGTCAGTGACTGTCACCAACAGTCTTCAATAGTTGTGACATGAAGCTCAGGGCTTCTGGGATTTATTTCTGTGTATTCTAGACATTCTTCATTTCCTTTTCTTTCTTGTCCCTACTTAATATTGCCCCATGGATATTTTGGTTATTACTTGGTGGTATTTGAGCAAATGTTTCTATGAAGATCATTGTTGGGCAACTCAGAGAAAACAGTTGTCTATCACAAGAGCCATGAGGTCTCACTAAGTCCTTAGAGCCTAGCTTATGAAAGTATCAAGGCCTTGGAAGCACATGTAAAAGAAGTGATGGACAGGGAATAGGAAAAATAATTCTGAAGAAATGAGGACAAATACTAAATTGAAGTGGAAAATTCTACCCAAACAAGAAAACAAAACATCAGTCTGTGACCTGGTTGGTGGGCCCTACTCTTAAAAACTGAGTTTAATTTTATTCAATAGTGTTGAACTTATTTTTTCCCTAGAGTGCTCATAGGATCCCTAAGTCATTTAGTTATTCACTGACTTTACTATAAGAGGAACTAGACCAAGCTGTAGCACAGCATTCTACTCTTATAGGAATGTAGTCACCAATTCCTTTATGCTTTCAAAATCCAGACATAACTGATCTTGAATATACTCTGAAATTCTGGAACCTTCCATTGAACCAGAGTTATTTCACATCAGTAGATGTCTGCTAGATATTCCTCTCTGTTGTGTTCAAATATTTTCCATAAAAAAGCTTTTTTCTCTAGGTCCTACTGACAAGGAGTATGATCTTTAGTAGTATTCATCTTGATAAACTTACTACATCAGAGAAGTTGGCTAGGATGTGGAATCTATTACAGTTATCTTATTCACTTATGGCAAGTGAACACTTTATACATGGCAGTTCATTTTTCTCCAGCACCATTTCCACAAGGCCTTCATCTATGCATGTGTGTTTAAAAATTAAATTTTACTTTGATTTTTAAAATTATCATATGTACTTTATCAAATTATAGTGAAAATAATGTTGGTTTACAGCCCAACGGATGCCAAAGGATTCTAAATTACTTTGCCAGAGTTATCAGAAAAAAACAACACTATAATAATTAAATTGATGTTTTCTCTCCCTTTATCATTTACTCTTAATCTGATATAGATTCTATGTTGGTAGTCTACCTTCTGTCTCTTCACCATAGTCATGCAGCTAGGGACTGTCTGAATGTTATGTCTTTTTAGCAAGCATTTGGGTTTTTCTAGGTAGTGTACAGTCTTTATGAGCCTTTGTGTGTGTTCTGTATCTCATTTTTAGAGTATCATAAAAGTTTAGCATGATAGATTTTATTTTTAAGTCTAAATTGATTTGGTTATTATATTAGGTTTTATTGGCCACAAGTCAGATGCCATCTTAATATGTGCTCTGTGTCAGTGGCAGAGACCAGGAAAAATGTGTCTGTTCATAACATTAGCCCCTCATTTAGGTCCTCTGGAAGAGAAGGTTTAGAACACAAGAAACTAAGACTAGATCTCTGCCTTCCATGGGTTGGTTGGGTTGGAATCACTTAATTCTTGTCGAATAAAGCAGTCTGCTATTTGTTCCTTGATATGGACTAGTAAAAGGGTAAGTTACAGAGTACCCACATGAGCTTACCTAACAAAATGTAGCTTGATATAGCTAATTGTTTTATATTACATATGATGTGAAATTATACAGTATACATTTGAATTAGGAGAATACCAAATGTTATGCTTAATACTATCACATTGTACCAGGCAAAGTGGTGCACTCCTAGGGTGTCAGCATTTGAGAGGCAGAGGCAGGAGGGATGCATCATAGGCTACATGTTGAGACTGTATCACAAAATAAACAAAATCATACTATATGGTTTCTCCTGGTACTTTGTTTTCCTGAATCTGGTGACAGTAAAGTTAGAAACTTTTCATTAAAAATATAAATTCGGGGGGGGGTGTGTGCAAAGTGAGTTCCAGGCCCTCCAGGGCTATATGGCAACACTCTGTCTCCAAAAACAAAACAAAACAGTGTTAAGTGCTATTATTTCTTATGTATTTTAAGTATTGGTTTAAGTAGTTTTAGCTGAGGGGGATCTTAAAAAGCAGGCACATTATTAAAATCACATGAATTATTTTGCTAAGTGACAAAATTATACTAGGAAGTTTGATAAAAGCCTGCAGTTAAAAATATATTAAATTAACCTGGGTATAGTGGTGCACACATTTAATTTTCACAACTGAGACGCAGAGACAGGTGGATCCTAGTTAATGTGAGGCCATCTTGGTCTTTATAGAGAGTACCAGGACAGCCAGAGCTACATAGAGAGACTGTATCTCAAAAGGAAAACAAAAAGAAAGGAAAGAAAAAGAATTATTTTTTATCAATTATTTTATCCCAAATGTCTTGGAAATTGCTTGCAACAAGAAGAAATCACCAGCAAAAACCCTTGAATTGTTGGGTTCTGTGGAATCTCATTGTCGCTGAGAACACTGACAACTGGGTCAACCAGGTACCTTCTCGGCCTGCTGTGGGGCCTGTCTGAATGCAGCCATTGTGAGCAAAGAATATGAGCCAGAAGAGATTCCCTCTGAGCGTTTGCTCAAGAAAACACAGATGTTCTCCCATTGGCTGGGATTATTTAAGACCCAGTAATATATTTGCTACAATTACTGTTTAAGAAAAAATAGGGAGCCTGGAAAATAGTAGATGAATCAATCACCAAGAACTAAGGCTACCAACACACAGATTGCTTAAAAGACCTTTTGATGTAACATTTTGTGGTGTTATATTTTTGTTGCTGTTGTTGGCATTATTTCCCTTTCGGCAGCCCTGCCTAGTAAGCCTGAAAGGGCTGGAGTTTATGTGTTGTTTAAACTCTTATTTTTACTTTTAATGCTCTTTATTTATATTAAACCTAGAAGAGTCTCTATTGAATGCTTGACTGGTTGCCTGGCACATTTGAAACAGCTTTTATGTCGCAATTTTTTCCAAGTTTTCATGCTCTGTTTAGATAACAGTATATATGGGATTAAATGGAAAAGGAAACATAAGACTAGAGAAACATGTGTTTCTGCCTTTCTGAAATAGGTCTTGGTCTTTTGTGACCCAAACACTCAGTCTCTTTCTAGCTGGGATTTGAGATTTGAAAGTGGGGAAGCTGTGAAAACTCCTCCTTCTGAGGAGGCAGGCATGGCACTGAGCAGTCATCATGTGAGCTTCAAGGTTGGATAGATGTCACCAGCCACACTAGAGCTCAGGGATTTTACCACATGATGCACTCCATCTCCTAAGAATGTCAGTTGCTCAGCTTTGTGGACTATCATTGCTTTGTGGACTGTCACTTCTCCTCCTGAAGTGACTAGAACTGAGATTGTAATCAAAAGAATGGGTAGGAGGCTGCCCTAGTTAGCTTTAACTGTCAGCTTGACACTGCAGCCTAGAGTCATCTGAGAATGGACCATTGAAGGATTGGCCAGGTCAGATTGGCCTGTGGTGAATTGTCTAGATTGATCATTCATATAGGAGGGCCCAGCCCACTGTGGACAGCAATGTTCCCTGGTTCTGGGCTGTATGAGAAATCTGGCTAAGCGTGAGCCAGCAAGCAGTGTCCTTGGTGATTTCTGCTTCACATTCCTGCTTGAGTCCCTGCCCTCCTGTCTCTCAATGATAGATGGTAACCACTAGGCTTAAATAAGCCCTTCCCTCTCCTAAGTCATTTTCTGGAAAGAGTGTTTTATCACAACAAAAGGAAAGAAGTTAGAACTGTAGAGCAATAAAAGTCCTCAGGTGTCTTCATGATAGATTTTTATTATGGTCACTAAGTACTTTTCCAATTTTGTTATGTTTAATCTGTTCATCATTTCAGTAGGAGAAAATTAAAAGCAAATACAACATTTAAAATAATCTCCCACTGTATTAGTTCCTTTCTTGTTGCTGTGATAAAATATCATGACCAAGCAATTTAAAGGAGAGATATTTATTTTGGCTTATGGTTCTGAAGGGAAAGTCCATCGTGGCAGAAATATATGGCAGCCATGAAGCAGAGAGATCATACCTTCACCCTCAAATATAAAGCAGAGAGGGACAGAGAGAGAGATGGGGGGGGTTGGAATTAGGAGAGTCTATAATCTCCTAAAGCCTGCTTTTAATGACCTGTTTCTTCCAACAAGTCTCCATGCCCTAAAAGTTTCATTACCTTCCCAAACAGCACCATCAAGTGTTCAAATGTATGAGCCTAAGAGGGGCATTTCTTATTCAAATCAGCACACCCCTTTGGGTGCCAAAAAGCAGGACATCAGTGGGTAGGTGGCACCAGCAGCATGCCAGGCTCACATCTTGTAGCTCTCTTCTCTTGTCTGATCTCAGGTGACCTTTAGGGGTCTTCCTTCCTTCCTTCCTTCCTTCCTTCCTTCCTTCCTTCCTTCCCTTTCCTTTCCTTTTTCTTTCCTTCCCCTTTTCTTTCCTTTCCTTCTTTCTTTCATTTCTTTGGTGAAAAAATAATTTCAACATTAACCAAACAAAATGGCCAAAAGATATCTTGTGACCTCAGGGAGGGTAGTAGCACCTAGGATAAACCTGCATCAGGACCAGTGATGTCTACCTCTTGAACCCTACCTCTTGGAGTGTTTTTATTTCAGTGTCTTAGCTGAGAATTTTAGGCATTTTCCTCCCTAGGAATTTTACAAGGATGTGATTTGTTTAATGTTTATTATATCTCCATTTTCAAATTAAATTAACCCGACCTCTAGGTGTCTTACTAAGTTTTAAAAATGGATATTCATTTTCTTAGTGCTGCTCTTGAAGTAGTTATATCTTATCAGCATTGTGTGTCCTTTGCTGTGTGACAAATTTGGGGTGATTTTTACTCCTCTGGGGACATTGAAAAGGTCTGAAAACACTTTGATAGGTAGGGGAGTGGGGGGACTCTTACTGGCATCTAGAATGTGGGGTGCAGGGATTCTGCTATACTCCATGCACAGATCCACTGCTAGGAGAGAAAATGAAAAGGTTTAATGATGCTTCAATTTAGAAAGCCTGTTATATGTAGTTTTATTGTATCAAGGGCAGGGAATAAAACGTCACCTTCACCTTCAGCATCCTCATTTACATAATGCATGACTTATAAAAATGCACTGGTTAGGGGGTAACTTGTCGATAAGGAATTATGCTTCTGAGGTTACTCACATATGTGGAGTTGTCAGTTTCTCTCTCACATTATGTGTTACCAAAATGGCATCACGTGTGACTGGGTTATGTAATTCTTTGTTTTTCTTTTCAAGCTCTTAAATATAAATCCACTCGAACGAATAAGAGAATCATTCTGCTGCTGGTCGCCGGGCTGGTGCTCACTGTCATTGTTGTTGTTGGAGCCATTCTTCTCATCCCAGGTAAGATGCTTGGGTACTGGGATCAGGACTTCAGGGTTGATGTGAGAGGCATCCGAAGAGGCTGTGTGTTGGTTTATAGGGTTGTTGTGACAGATTGTGACAAATGATGTGATCTCAAGCAATAGAAATTCTCTGGAGGACCTGGAGTCTCTCAAGGGCTGTAGTTCCCCTGGGGAAGAACCCTTGCTTTGCCTCTTCTAGCTCCAACTATTTACAGGCAGTCCTTAGAATTCCTCAGCTAGTAAAGCAGCCCATCACTGCCTACTCCTGCCCTGGGTCCACTGTGTCTGTGTGAGGTCTCTCTCCCTTCTCCTCTCTCCACTGACAGGAAGTAGGCATTCAGGCACTCATTCAATTCGGGTAAGATCTTCCTTCCACATCTCTGGCTTAGTAGCCTATCTTTTCCCATTCAATATTCTATTCCCATTCTGCCACATGAGGTGGCACCAATAGTTTCTAGGAACAGGAAGGTGGGAATATAACCAGGGCCCCCAGTAAATCCACTATGGAGGCAGGCTTCACTGGCTAAGGTGCGGAAATGGGCGTGAATATGGGAGTCATATCTTTCTAAAGTAGTCAGTGCCACTGAGAGATTGAAGCATGAATAGGAAAAAGTGGTTGGCTGCATATGGGAAGGAAAGCAGAGGCCGGGACTCACCATGGCAGCCCACAGAAGCCCACTGCCGTCTCTTGGGGAGACTTCCTCATAGGCAGATATTTCTAACACAGATTTGGCGCATTTGCATCCAGGGCTGGGGAGGTGATGAAATCAGGAGACAATATGAAAGAGCATTTGGTTCGGGGACAGGCTGAATGCTGAGAATGAATGGATGGTGGATGGTAAGGGCAAGTTTATCATCTGGAATTTCATAAGGCAGTTAAAGAGTTAAAGCCAAATAAAGAATTCAACATATTGAGATACAAATCCTTTAGCTTGGCCTTAAATGTTAAAATAAGAATTACTTGTTTTGTGTGATTTCGGGGAGAACATTTTAAGCCTTTCTAGTGTATAATGTACCATTGAGGTTAAAACATTTAGTAGAATAAGTATGTAACTTCACAAAGAAGTATATAAGAAAATATTTTAAATATTTTTATTTATAACAGGAGAAAACCCTGTAAAGAGTGCTTCTGGACTTGGCCTCATTGTCATCTCTATAGGAACACTAATACTACTTCAGTACAATGTGTTTATGACTGGTGAGTATTTTTGTTTTGTTTTGTTTTGTTTTATTTTGTTTTTCAAGATATGGTTTGAGTATTTGTTCTTACAGTCTGATTTTTGCCTATTCACTTAAAAACCAATACCTTGGTGAAAATATTCTTGTATGGTTTTAACAGTTCAATAAAAGTTGCTTTATTAGATTGTCCATTGTATTCTTAGTGACATTTCCCATACAGATAGATTTCTAGGTTGTTAGGTCTTCTCAACAATTATTTTATGAAAAGCAATTTTCTTGCATATTTGATGGAATTGGTATAATTTTAAAGTATGCTGTATAATTTTTAATGGTTATTTGCATATTCTAATTTTAGTTTTTTGTAGCTATAAGTCAGTTTTCAAAGACTTTTTTTCTTATTTTCCTTAACCTTTTGCAATAAAAAGATTGGTTCTAGAAGATGGGGGTTATAAGTCACAAATTTTAGAAACATAGTTTCTTATTATTGGCAACACTGAAAAACATGGCTATTCTAACTATAAGCAATATCATTTCTGTGCATTTAGGTCCATTTTTGTTACTGTTAAAGAGTCTCATTTAGCACTGAGTCTTAGATCCTTTGGCTGTAGTTAAAGGTTAGTTAGAAAACCACAGATCCTGTCTACACACAGAGCACAGAGGTTATGTTTGTGTGGTATCTGCCCCTTGCACCTCGAACAGTTGTGTGCCTGTGGATAAGCCATGCATAGCAAGCCATTCATACCATACAGTTTATAAATGTAACAACAACATTATTTTGAGAATTTGGTTTAAAAAAAAAAAAAAAAAAAAAAAAAAAAAAAAAAAAAAAACCTCTGTCAGCCCTCTGAGGTGACTGATAATAAAAGCTTGCAAATGTGTGGTGAGTCTGGAGCTGACACTCCTGTGGAAAGGTTAGCTGGAAAACATGTCATCTGATGAGGAACTGCAGTCCATCTTTGAGTGTGTCAAATGCCAGTAGGAGTAATTGCTTCATCAGTGTTCTCGACACGTTCCTATTGTGTCCTTTTCCTCCCTCAGCTTTCGGGATGACCTCTTTCACCATTGCCATATTGATCACTCAAGTGCTGGGCTATGTCCTTGCTTTGGTTGGACTGTGTCTCTGCATCATGGGTGAGTCACACTCTTTTGTGTTTCTGATTTTTGTTTCAGTTAAGTTAGAGCTCTTGCTTCCTCTTCCCTTTTTTCTTATCTTCTTAAAAAAAAACAAAAAACAACAACAACTGTCTGGCCTTTTCTTTTAGAACAGTTGTGGATTGGTAGAGAAACCTAGTGGAAAGTACAGAGATTTACCTATGCCCCACCCTGTTTCTATTCCCCATCCACCCTCAGCTTCCCTCACCATTTCACACCAGAACAGTGGGTGAACCAACATGGAGACATCCTTACCAACCCAAATTAATAGCTTCCGTCATGGTTGTTGGTGTCCTACAGTATATTCTGTGGCGGTGACGGATATGCAGAGACATGTATGCCCATTGTGGTATCACCTGGAATAATCCCCCTTGTTCTGCTTGTTCGTCTGCCCCTCTCCCTAACCCCAGACATCACTGACCTTTTAACTTTCCACACAGTTTTGCATTTTCTGAAATGCCTTAGAGCTATATTTATAGTGATAGCGCAGGTCTTGTCTCCACACAATACAGTGTAGCCAGCCCCTAACAGAGCTTATGCTTGTGCCTTTTCACACAGGCTTCCTTCCTTTTTAAATAAGTCTTAAGTTTCCTCCATGTCTTATAATCTTGATAGCTCATTAGTGCTGAAAAAAATATTGTTGCCATAATGTGTTTAGTATTTTGCATTCACCTACTGAGGGGCCATCCTGGTTGCTTTCCTCTTTTTGTGACAGATGAATAAAGCTACTGTAAACATCAATGAGCATGTGTTTGTGTGGATATAAATTTTCAGCTCTAGTTGGCTAAATACCAAGGGCTGTAATTTTTGCATTGTGTGGTAAGGTACAGCTAATTTTTGTAGCAAACTGGCAAACTCTTGTTTGGTAACACTATCAGGGAGCGATGATTTTGTATCTCTGCATATTTTTCAGCATTTGGAATTGTGAGCCTTTCTTTTTCCACACCGCCCCCCCACACACAAATACACTCACATACACCAGTGTGAATAGTATTTTCCTCTTTGCGACAAGAATGTTGCCTATATATGGGTTGTGGGATAACACTTCTAATAGTCCAACTATTGTGTCCATATCTGTGGGAGAACTTGTCAAATGACCAAGCTGTGCTGGACTAGCATCTTGGACTTTACACACTATTTTTCACTAATCTTGATATGGTAATGGTGCACTATGTTAAAATGTTTTTTTTTAATAATTAAGCTATTTTTACTGAGTTAGTAATAGAGATATTCTTATATTGTATACATGTAGGCGATGTTTTTACTGATCATCAGAGTAAGAAATACTATCCTTAAAGCTGGTATATGCAGGGTATAAATGTGTACATCAGTGGTAGCACTATTTGCCTAGTATGTAAGTCTACTGAGTTGGGAATATTGCACCACCAAATACACCAACAGAAAAAAAATTATATTATAGTTATTGTTGATTCCTTTAAATTAAAATTTGTTTACTTTATATGCATTTCTAACAAAATTCCATTTGTTTTACAGCTTGTGAACCAGTGCACGGCCCCCTTTTGATTTCAGGTTTGGGTATCATAGCTCTAGCAGAATTACTTGGACTAGTTTATATGAAATTTGTCGGTAAGTTAATCTTACTTTTTAAGCCTCTGCAAAGAATTTCAGATACGTAACTTTAAAAAATGAGTTTTGTTAGGTCTTCCAGCTGAGGGTAGAAATCTACTGATATCTCAGCAATTAACAAGGGAGGAGGCATGTGTATTCATGCAGTTTGAGTTGCAAATTAAGAAAGAAAGTGGCTTTGCATACTACAAAGTATAGAACTTATTTTTATAAGCAAAAGAAGGCACCTTTGAAGGTTCCATTTTAAATTAGTATGAAAGATTCATTCCTTATTCCAGGATCCCCTTGTGGAGCTCTTTGTCCCTCTGCTCTTTGTGTACACTGCTTACACACACAGACACCCCTGCAGAGACAGGAACTGAAAATTAAAACCTGTCACATCTGTAATTTAATGTGCAATGACTTCCAATGCACTACTTTGAAAGCACTTCCAGTGAAAAACCAGTATATTAAAAGAGATCTTTAAATTCAAGATTTTATTGCAATTAAAACAATCAGTTTTTGGCCCAGCGTTGGTGGTACATGCCTTTAATCCCAGCACTCTGTGAGTTCGAGGCCAGTCTGGTCTACAGAGCGAGTTCCCGGGACAGGCTCCAAAGCAATACAAAGAAACCCTGTCTCAAAAAAACAAAACAAAACAAAACAAAAATTAGTTTTGGTAAGTATGGGCTTGCACGCGCCATTTGGTATTTAACCTGCCAATCTCAACTCTGGGATTCTGCATTCTTATTGTGGACATGTATACACAGAGACAAGTGTTTTTTGTGGTACCTGAACTAGAATGTACCTTACCTAAGCCACACCTGTCCCCAGCCATATTTATGACAGTCTCCCTTAAAAGAGGTACTTTGATGTGTGTGTGTGTGTGTGTGTGTGTGTGTGTGTGAAATATAGTAAACTCTTCACTGTGTGACAAGAAAATCAAAATTTAAAAGTCATTGAAACAAATCAGTATTTCCAATGTGCTTTCAGATGAATGCTTTCTAAAATCTAATAAAAAAGTTGATTGTAGTCAATAAATTTTTCATACTATTTATATAAGACTTTCAAGGAAATTTTTCCATTATTTCCAAACTTGATTTCTTAATTTCTGATCATGAAATTTGACCTATTATATTTTATATGCATATGTGTACATACATATGTTATTTTCTTTTAGCTAATGTTTTTATGTAAACAACTAAAATACTCCAAAGTCTACTTGCCTTTAGTTTTTGTGTCATAAGTATTGGTTGTTGCTTACTGAGTTTTCCTGACACTATACCACATAAACCCACAAAACACAACTAAGACATCTGTAGCAGGCTGGCACTCAGGAGCTGACTCTGATGCCTTGAATTCTGATGCATAGTCTATTTTTGTTAGTCTTCCAATCAGCCTCTGTCTGGACTTGAAGGCTGACACTGCTGATTTTGTTCCTCCCATGAATGCTAAGAACAGTATGTGACCTGCAGTATTCATGTAACCCCAATGTAGAGGGATAGGTGTGTCTGGCTGATGGTCAGCTCTCTGCTCTTTTTCCTCTGTGTCTGGAATGCATCCTTTTGTTCCCCGGCTTCCATAGCTGGTCATAAGTGATGTTCAGCATAGCTGCCATGAGAATTGTCATCATCCAGTGGCTGACTTCTGCCTCTGCTGTCGCATTTACTCCATGGCTTAAGTCCCTGTGGAGCCTTAAACCCATTGTAATTGCACGTTATTGTGATAAAAGTGAAATCGAACTACCCAAAGATTTTTCATCATTATGATAGTGTACTAGATGAATATGCTGTATGTAAGCTAAGAATTGAGTCTAGTTGACATTTTGAGACTATTCTAAATTAACTTTTCAAATCAACTTGTCTGACCCCAGAGTGGAGAGAGACACCTTCGGTCAGTTGAAAGGCAAGAAGAAAAGGTACAAGATGGCTGCTTTTTAGATACTGTGGTAGACTAGGACAATGAATGTGTTTTGCTTATGTGTTCTGACTGCATATAATCTGAACATATGCAGATTAAGGTTGCAAATTTGAGCATTTTTATGAGGAAGTGAAAGTTGTGTTTCCAAAGTAATTCCTGCTCATTGAAGGCACCATTGTAGAAGTGGGGGACTTTTGATTTAAATGCAATGAAATCCTCACATACTTTAAAAAAATTTCTCTTTCTAAAGGGAGTTAATACCCCTGTGCGAATGATAACTTTTATATTTTTCATTATTTCTGAGTTTAAATTTGTAGCCTTAATTGCAATTTTAAGGGATATGATTTTAACTTTTGCTTTCTATGACAAAATAAATTTTTTAAATTACATTGTATTTTTCCTTATGAGAAGGATTTTAATTTTATGAAGTCAGAAAATTATAATAGCTTAATATGAGCACATAAGAAAGATTAATGGGAACTACTACACTCGCTAAAGCAGAGGCTGTTTCTGTGCAGGGCACCTGAAGTCATTAGTCTACGTGGCACAAGAGTTGTTTCCAAAGCCATTACCATCCAGTGCAATATATGAGCAGGTACAACCGTTCTGGTTCAAATCAACTTGGTAGCAGTCAGAACCATGCCTGCTACCACATCTCAGATATTCTGAAATGATACAGAAACACACATATATTATGTATGCATTTATTCAGATATATTTTCTTGTCCATTGTTTATAAGATAGATAGAAATCACTGGAAAAATCGTTCTTGAGGAATTGAAAGCCTGAAACTATATTTATGTCATGTAGTCAGGTATTTGAGAGTGAAAACAACATACCAAGAATCATTACAAGACTGCAAGCAAACATGTGTGGAATGCTTAAAGCTTTTGATTTAAAAAAAAAAATAGATGACTACCAATGCCTAGGCTCCTGACACATGATAGGGACAAATCATCCCCATTCTTTATCACATGACTTATATCCCCATTAGAGAGAATTAACTCGGGTACAGCTAGTTCTATAACATCCAAGGATGGTGACTTACTAGTGTCCTTCATAGCATACAGTGTGCCTATAGTTCTGTTTCAGAATGAGCTAGGCAAATCAGACTTGAAAATAAGAATTTAGCAGCCGTCAAGTGCTCATGGAGAGGATGGTAGAAGCACCACAGAGCACTTCTTGGTATTACTTACAATGAACGCATTTATGAGCGTGAATATAACTTTACAATGTTTTGCAGTACTCCTGGGGAGATGAAAAGTCTCCACTTCCCATAGAAAAACAATGGCAGATAAAAGCACACAGAGTCTCCAAAAACAATTTGGTGAACCAGTGAGTTTCATTGGGGTTACTTTCAGGATCAGAAATGTCTCAAAATCAAAAGCCCACTCCAGCATGGGTGACAAACAGCCCATGAAAACTGGAACCGTATACAGCCTTCAGGTAGCTTGGTGGGTTGGAGTGTGCTGTACACTTAGCTCAGTTGGTCCAAGCTCCTCTCAGGCAGCAAGGATGACCTGTTTCTTCCAGGTGGCTTGTTTGGTCAGAGTCTCTTGGAGGCAGCTCAGTCTGTCTTGAGAGTGACTCCCAGCAGTCTTTGCTGCTCATATCAGCTTGGCAGAGGGAGGAGCCTAGTGAATTTGGTCAGTTTCATGGACTTCCAGAGCGATTTTGATTTTTTCACTCCTTGAACTAAGGAGCTTCTCCATGGGTTGGTGGAAGTTTTAAACTTGGGAGGGAACTGCTATACAACACCCTTCCTATTACCAGTCAGTTATTTAGATCGCTCTTTTACTTTATAAAACTTAAATATAGGGGATGGTACCTGTAAGTTGTAGAGCCAGTGTCTTTGATAGTCCTTTAGGACATTGGGGTGGCTGCGGTATACCTCAATCTGATTCACTCTCTACCTCTTTGAAAGGAGGTCGGATACCTTTCTGTTGAATGCCTTTCTGTTTGAACGCAAGGAACAAACCCTCCCTGGGTGCCACCACAGTGAGAGTCATTCGTTTAGAGGCACCCCTGGCTCTCACACAGACACAGGGCTCATGAGGGCAGGTACATACAGGGTTTCACAGAGTAGGGTAGATACGTGGCTGAGGTGTTTGTAGGACCATCGCTTCCCTCTCAGTAAATAGCAGTGATTGACGCTTTTTTTGTCCTTTACGGTCACTGGAACCCTGCCCTGCCATCTTCATTGTTAGCAGCTACCTTATCTTTGCCGCTAAAGGTCCCTATTTTATATTTCCAAATTTGATTTATATTTCACTTTCAGTAGTCAGGCATGTACATTACATAAAACTTAGAGCTCAGCAGTAATTTACAGTATCATTGCTTGTGGTGAGTGAATTAAGTTAGAGAAGCTTGGGAAGAATTTCTACTGAGATATTTATATATTTATCAGAGTCAAACATTGCGTGTGTGGGTGTGGGTGTGTGTGTGCATGTGCGTGTGTCTGTGTATGGGCATGTATGTGTGTGAGTATTGTGTGCATGTGTGCATGCCCATGTGTGTGTGGGTGTGTGTGTGTGTGTGCATGTGTGCATGCCCTGTGTATGTGTGTGTGCATGTGTGTGTGCGTGTGTGTGTGCATGTGTGTGTGAGTGTGTGTGTGTGTGTGCATGCCCATGTGTATATGTGTGAGTGTGTGTGCCTGCCCATGTGTGTGTGTGAGTATGTGTGTGTGTGTGCATGTGTGCATGCCCATGTGTGTGTGAGAGTGTGTGTGTGCATGTGCATGCCCTGTGTATGTGTGTGTGCATGTGTGCATGCCCGTGTGTGTGTGTGTGTGTGTGTGTGTGTGTGTGTGTGTGTGTGTGCATGCCCATGTGTGTGTGTGTGAGTATGTGTGTATGTGCATGTGTGCATGCCCATGTGTGTGAGAGTGTGTGTGTGTGTGTGTATGTGAGTGTGTGCGTGCGAGTGTGTGCGTGCGAGTGTGTGTGTGCATGCCCATGTGTATGTGTGTGTGTGTGCATTCCCATGTGTGTGTGTGTATGTGTGTGTGCATGTGTGCATGTGTGCATGCCCATGTGTATGTGTGTGACTGTATGTGTGTGTGTGTAGTTTCTCATTTTTTCCTAAACAGTGAACTTTAACTCAATGGCCCTTCTTATATCAACAAACAAATTTCTTGAGAATCCGGAGTTACTCAAATCTTGCAGTTGTCAGTGACTTCTTTTTAAGAAAAACAAGTTTTAGTTGATTTAATTCTCGAAGATGCTTACTTACTAGTAGGAAAGATTAATTGCTATTCAGTTATCTGTGGGTCAGAACGTTTTAGCATTATCATCTTAACAGTCCACACCAGCAAAGCCGAGGATACAATCCATTCCTCTCTCTCTTTAAGTAATACTGTTTCATTTTATATGCGTACTGACTGTATTTACATCATATCTGCCCTACCTCTCCTCCCTCCAACCCTCTGGTGCCCCTCCTCAAATTCATAGCTTCATATGCATTAACTATTATTGTTAGACATATGTGTGTGCACATGCATGCACACACACACACACACATTGGTGTAAATTTATAAGCACAGCCTGCTGGGTTTATTTAGTGCTGCTCACGCATATATGTTTATGGCTGACTCCTAGGGATTCGATCATCTAGCAGGAGGCTTATCCCCAGAGAAGACTGATCCTCCCTCAGTAGTCATGAGTTGCCTGTAGCTCTTAATTTAGAGAAGAACCTCTAAGATTTCCCCCATCCATGTTGTCATGTCAACCGATAGCTGTCTTCGTTCAGGTCCAGTTAGGCAACCATATTGTTGTGATTTCATGGGTGCAACTTCCCTATTATATAAAAGACACTATAAGCAAGTGTCATTACACAAAATGGTGCAGCAAACATCCTTGTCATCTGGCTTTTACAGTCTTTCTGCCTCCTCTTCTTCGATGTTTACTAAGCTGCATACTAAGATGTAGGCATAGGGATTATGGTGTAGATGAATGAATCAGTAGAGGTTGAGCACCCAATGGTCATTTGTTCTCTGCTAAACTGTAGGCATAGGGATTATGGTGTAGATGAATCAGCAGAGGTTGAGCACCCAATACTCTCTGCTAAGATGTCGTTGTAGGGATTATGTTGTAGGTATAGGGATTAAACTAAATTGTTCTCTGCTAAACTGTAGGCATAGGGATTATGTTGTAGATGAAACAGTTGAGGATGAGCACCCAGTAGTCAATTGTTCTCTGCATGTTGACCATTTGTTTCTTTCTGTAATCACCTCCATTTGCTTCGGAAAGAAGGTTCTTTGGTGAGAGGTGGAAGCCACATGGTTTTGCTTTAGGAGAAGTGGCAATAGTCGGTTCTCTTCTGGATCATCAGTCTCACCTAGCTATGCTGGCTAAGCTTAGCTTAGTCAAGTATGAATTCCCTCCTCTTCAGCAGGCCTTAAGTCCAATTAGACAGCTGCTGGTTACCCCTGGTATGTAAGTGCCACTACACCTGCGGGTATATCTTGCTGTTATGTGGCTTATAGGGGCTACAGCTAGGCAGAACTGTTGGTTACTTTTCTCCTTTGGCAGCATTCATAGCTCCTAACTGTACCCTGAGAGCTTAATCTTTAAGAAACAGGCTTCCAGGTTTGTCTAGCTTGATTCCTTCCAGTCCTCTGTCCAGTGTGTGTTGTCTTCAACTATAGCATCTTAACCTTCAATTTTGAGGAGATAACCAAGGGCCACAGCAACAGCCTATATTGTTTTGGGAGTTCTTAAACTCCCCTGATGAACAACTTGAAAGGAGATTTCTCATAGTGGAGTTTGGAGTACATAGTATAGCTTTGGGGAGAATATTATTACTGTTAGACCCCCAGAAAACCAGGTATCCGGGGTCCCAGGCCACCACCGCGGTCACCCCAATCACCAGGCAGATTCAAGAGCTTGCTGCAAACTGCATGAGGCTTTATTGTTTTTTAAGGAGCTAACCCCATGTCAACTCGGGTCTTTCACCCACCCGTCATGGCGGATGGCTCGCAAAAGACAGCTCGAACTGGCTGCAGAGAGAGATCTTGTAGGGCATCATAAGGGGAGTGTCATGGCTGCCGAAATGGGGAGCTGGTCCCTTCGTTACCCCAAGTGGTATGACTTCATTTAAACTATATGCGTGCATATACACATACATAATTGTAATAAACATAAAATAATGATTCCCTATGGCTTTCCCAAAATCTTTATGGTTACTGATCCCTATTAATTCTTTGAAAATTTCATACATGTTCAATGTATGTTGATCATATAGACCCCCCCAACTATCTCCCTTGAACTATACGTGGGACTCATTAACCTATTTTTCTCCTGACTCCATGTCCTCTTTTTTTTTTACCACTTTAAAATGATAAAATAAAATAATAAAATAATAATGATAATGATAATAATAACAATAACGATAATAATAATAATAATAATAATAATAATAATAATAATAATATCCTGAGTCCAGTTCTTGCTAACCAAATGTGCATGGGCAATATTTTTGCCAGTAATAATTAATGATGATAATGGTAGTCTCCTGAGTCCAATTAGTGGAGCCACATCCCCAGAGAAAACTGACTTTCCCCTCCCTCAGTGACCATCACCTGCCCATAACTCTTCATCTAGGGGTGAAGGTCCTATGAGTCCCTCCCCAACCGTGCTGGAATTCTGGCTGGCCTGAACTCATGCAGTACTTGTGTAAGCACTGCCTCTGCTGTGAGTCTGTGTGTCTGTCAGTGCCATCAGAAGGTAGCATTTCACAGCTGTCCTGTCTATCCTCCAGCTCTACAGTCCTTCCTGTTCACTCCTCCAATGTGATCACTGAGCCTTGGTTGGAGAGAGGTTGATATGTGACTGAGCACTCCCAGTCATTGACTCTCGGCACTCTGACCAGTTATGAGTCTGTATTAACCCCTATCAAATAACTGCAAAAAGAAGCTTCTCTGGCCAAGGTTGAGAGTGGCCCAAATCCATCTTCCAAATGTGTTCTCAGCTAAACATCCTTTTTTTCTATTGTTTTTGAATATCTGCATACATTACAGTGCTAGCTCACTCTTTCAATTTTATTATTGAATGTATTCTATTACATTTTTGTACACACACACACACACACACACACACACACACACACACACTGCATTCTGATTGCTATCACCTGCCCCCATCAGCTCACTCTCCTCCCTGCAAGTTTCTTTGCCATATTCATCACCAAGTTTCTAGTTGTTTTTATTTATCCTCTTCTAATAGTAGTGGTAATGGGATATTTGGTGGCTTGCCAGCTGCAGTTTTCCTGTTTGAGAAACTCTGATCCCAGTCATCTTTAGAAGCTTGCTGAGTCTGCATGGGCAGGGTGGGGGATTTTGGCTGTCCTGGGCCTGCCTTTGACTGCTAGCCAGTGGGGTTTTGGTGGAACCTTACAAACCCTAGCCCTGTGTCTCAGCAGTCCACATGACTTGGAAATGATTCTGCTTCACTCCCATCTTAAGACCTCATTGTGCATTCTTCTGTTGCTCTCTGAATGCTTGTACTGTAAAAATTATCTTGAAAAGTTTGGATTTCTCGAATTGAGATAGGTGGTGGAGTAGGAAATTATAGCCAGTGAGTCATTGAAAGAATGTTGCTGGTCATGTTTCCCTGTCTTTGGGATACTGGCCATGAGGGAGAGACTGGCTTTGATTGCTTTATCTATGGTTTCCTTGCCTGGTTTTACATGGAAGTTTTCTTTCTTACCAATCAAAGTTGCTCTTTTCCCTCTTGTCATTTAGTTCATGCCCCCTATTCTTGAATCTTCATTAGCTAATCTTTTCAGAAGCAGCGAAGGGAGCAATCAGAATGCTAAGGAGGAATATACACAGAAGAGGCCCTGGTTGGTCTGAAGCTAACTGTCTGGGATGACTCTAAGCTTGGCAGGATCATCATGCTTTCTCTGTTAGTTTGTTAGCTGCCTAGAGCTTTGAAGACTGGGAAGGAGAGAAAGGAAGAGAAGGCTGCTAGACTAGGAATGAGAATGGTGTGCTAAAGGAGATGGTCTCCAGAGGAAGTTACTCATTGCCACATTCTGTCCATCCCAGTTGAGAAATAGGCAGAGACTGGACCCTGGTAGGAAAGAATAGTTGACAGGATCTTCCAACACTATGTACAACAGGTAACTGACATGAGAAAGACGCATGCACATGAGCAAGTCTGTTTATGTTGCTGTAGGCATGTTACTCGCTTCCTCTCTCCTATCAGTGTGTGTGTGATCAAGAGTCCTCTGTAGTTTTCAAACAGACCATGAAAGCTAGAACTCCTTCACTAGAGTATTTAGCACATTCTGGTTTTAGCCCTGATCATGTTATCTTAAAATTAAGTATTGTATTGCTTCATTTACTTTATTTATTGAATTTATATTGTTATTTATACCAGCTTCCAACCAGAGGACTATACAACCTCCTAGGGTAAGTTCAAGTTTATTAAGTGACCTAAGAATGATTGTGTGATGAATTAAAATAAGGGGTTGATAATTGGAATAATGAACTGTTTTGCTCTCTACTCAACGTGACATCCAATTAAGACAATGTTGAAGCCATCTCACGGCCTGTGCCTGAATGAGCCTTATTCTATTGTAAGACTTACCTTGGGACATTTAAATACCTATGAGATAGGAGAAATGATCCCATAAGATTGTACTCAGTTTATATATCCAGAATTGGGAAGTGTCTGAGAAGGAACGTTGCTGTCTCTTCCATCAGAAGGAAGCTGATTCCAGTATATCTCCTGACATGTTGGTTTTGCTTGACTTGAATTTATAGAATGACAGTTTCAAGCATGACATTAAGGAAGAGAAGTTTGTGCTAAACTGATTTCATTTAAAAATATAGTTTCTAAGGTATATGTTGTTGAAAAAAAAATCTGTTCCAAATAATGACTCCCTCGTTTTATTAGCACTTTTCTTTCCCAAAAATATACTACAAGTCTCATTGTATCTGCCTGCCTTCATAAATTCTTTGGGAAACTTCTAACAAAAACAGCAAATTCAGGAAGAGATGTATGAGGGGAAGGAAAAAAAGCCGGAAACTACTGTATTGACTCACCACAGTGACAGACCTGAGAGTTCTTACCTGGAATTAAGATCCGAAGGGGACTGTGTTGTAGTCAGCTTCCTGTAAATGACAACTAACCGATAAATCTGGCAGCCTCAAAGGACACACCCAAAGGACAGGCAGGGGCACAGTGTGTTAATGTAGTTCAGCCTTTCAGCCTGAAGAGACTGGTGTCATAGCTACATTAGTCACAAGCAGTCAGCAGTTTTCCTAGTGCCTCTTAGAGATAACCTGACCAATGGACCGTTAAATCCTAACAATTTCTTGCTGCTACTGAGTTCAATTTGCATGATGTGAAGATGATTTGGCTTCGCTACCATCTCTTATTTAACTGTATTTTCTGTTACTGCAATTTGCATGTTTGTACATTAATACTTTCATGAGATTTCTTGAACTAAGAATAGTGGGTGGAGTGGGAAATTTTTCCAGAAAAACGACTAAGAGAATAATATGGTTATTATTAGACTATTAACTAGCCTAGGGAAGCCTTGTTTCATTAGCTTTTGCTGTCTTGTTTTGCTTTTAGACCATAGGAGTCTCTGCTTATGATAGTGTAAGTTCTTAGCATAAAAGACAAAATAATGTTTATTTTATGTAAATATATTTTAAATATTTTCCAGAAAGCTGTAGAGGAACCCCTTAACGGTATGTGATTATTATAAACTTAGTAGTTTTGGTCAATTAGCAGATCATAATTTGAACTGATCCTCAAAGACATTAGAATGCCCACCTGTACCTTGGGGAAGAATCTAATTTGGGAGTGTTGTTTGTTTGCTTGCTTTTTCGTTCATGAGTTCTCTTGCCTTGATCTCTTGATTCTCTCTTGATTATTCATCAGAAACTGGTAGTGTTGCTTTTGTAATGTTCTCACTGTCCTATGCTATAGTAGTTGCTTACTTTAGCAAAGTGACATGTGGGCAAGGGGATCATTGACCTCTCTACACTGGACAAGTTGAAGTGTCACACCCACAGTGGAGGAAAATCTCAGTGGCTTCTAATTTTTAATTTTTAATTTTAGAAAAATACAGGTTGCTACCATCGAGTGATACCAAAATGTTTCCCTTACTTTCTATGTAAATCTAGATCTGTATTCCCCAGTAAGTCTGCTTGCTTTTATGGATGCTGTGGGTGTGAGGCCTAGAAATACATCCCAATGAATGATAGCCTCAAATGAATCTAGCTGTCTATTTGAGGAATAGTGTTGTTGCATATTTGTTTGTTTTGAGATTATTTCTAACTGTGAAATCATACTAACTTGCCTTCTTACTAATTGCCTGCTTATTACTAATCCTTAGCATTTAAAGAGTCAAAAGGAATGATGAATGATGGTAAGTATAAAATTTACCTGTCATTGTACACTGATTGATGCATGGACATTAGAAAGAAAGCAAAGAGCTTCTCGAAATTACAACTTTTTAGAAAATAAAAGGGACAAAGATGATCATGAATGTCCACATTTTTTGATGTTTAAAACAGATCTAGTTTGATATTGTTTTCTTTCTTTTATCTACCATGGTGTCATTTTTCTGTAGGTGGGTAAGAACAAAAACTTGCAGGGTCTCATCAATAGGAACCTCCTGATTCCTCAGCCAAGCAGTAGCTGCCTTTGATAAACATGTTTCAAGTCATGCACCTGTTTATTGAACCTTTTATGGGGTGTGCAGACACTCTGGCATAAGTTTGTCTCACCTTGACAAGGTTTCTTTTATACTCATGAGTATGATTGTTATCGCCTGTGACACTGGGAGTGATATATCCACTTTTCCAAGCAGGACCCTAACTCCAACCTCATGGGAAAGGATTAAAGAGAAAGAGACTTCCTTACTCCCCAGAGCCTTTCCCTCTTTTTTGAACACCAGCTCAATAGCAACATAGTTTCCTGAATATGCCCAACATATGTACTTGTTAATTCTAACCCAAGAAGCCTGTGATCCTTCAACCTAATATATACACTTTTTCAACCTTAATATACTATGATTCTCTAGCTCCATGGGCATTTAGGAACTAACTACATTTGTATTTTTATCCTGTTTTCAAAAGCGTCTTCACACCATTAGTACTTGAAACCATTGCCTGCTCCACATTTTGCTATTGTAAAGTCTGTGACCTGCAGATTCACCTCCATAACAAAGAACTAACACAGTTAGTTCGGGTAACACAGGAGGCCATCTTCCCCAGAGCACAATTAACTTCTACATAAGATTAAAAACACTTCGAACATGGGTTGGGTGAGCTAAATTTAAAACGGTGCTCAGGCATGTGTTTAACGGGAAGTCCAGAATGGTCCCATAGTTACAAGCTTTTGTCATAGCTTTCAAATGTGTGTTTCGATACATGAGCCACTGCTACCTAAAAATAGTGTTTGTAATGGGAATAAGTGTAAAGAAATGCCAGGATTCCTGGCATGGTTTTATCATGTTTGCCCTGTGTGTCTTGTTTTCAAATATTCAGTTCTTTCTTTTACCCACCATGCTGTCATTTTTCTGTAAGTGGATTTAAAAAAACAACATAAACTTTTCTCCATTTGCAGAAAACCAGTGTAAAAACCTTCAGTGCCTCTTTGTTAATCTTCTTTAAAATGTGACTTTTTAAAAGTCACTGTATCAGGAGATAGCATAGAGAACTATTGTTTTTTGTTGTTGTTTTTTCTTTCTTGTTTGTATAGCACATGAGGTCTGTGATGACCTTGGGTACACCCTGAATTTTGGCCACATTTAGCTGATCACAGTTGGTTTTTTAAATATCTGGTGAGGGGCTCTGTCTTCTGACATCCATTCAGGGCTCATGGTGTGCCTTGTCATACTGAATGAAGTTCAAGGTGCCATCTGCTTTACCTACGCCAGATCACAAGTCTGTTTCACTTATGTTAACTGAATGGTGTAAATCGAAAGTGAATGTGATAGAATATTATTCTTGGATCAATAACTTCTGCTTTGAAAAATCAACATCTCTTGCCTTTTGTCGAGTTAACCCAGCAAACCAAGATTATCAGTCTGTGTTGAATTTATTTTCATTTGTCATTGGCATTTTACTTAGCAAAGCAAAAAGGCTAGTGATTTGCCTGATTTCTCTCTGTGACCTTTACAGATATATTCCCATTAGTTTTGATATAACATATCTGAAACAGTTTCATGTTTAGAAACAGATTGTGACTTAATACATAGGAAGTAGACATCAGGAGTGATGAAATGTCAACGTTTCTATTTTCCAGAATAAGTGAGGGGAAGTGATGAACTGTTCCTGCAGAGTCAGAAGTAAAGGAATACATTTGTGTTGAAGCACCATGGTCTTGCTGACTCAGCTGGGAAGAAGAAAACAAATAAACAACAGTAACTGACTTTCTCATCTATGAAAGAACATGTCATTGACCCATAGATGATTATTACAGTTAAGTTTATATTCAAAGCAGCTGTGATTTACTTAATAAAAGAATCATGATTGTGTTGTGTAACCAATTGAAATCCATTTTTCTATTGTTTCTACTCAACTAGGGGCAAAAGTATCAAGGGCAACTTCCAAGAATGATGCTCGCTAGATCCTTGAGTCTCTGGACACTGGGTTTAAATCAATTCTGGACGAGACTTGCTTAGCATTAACCTGATGGTTATCCAGAGATACCTACGAAAAACAGTGGTATCCAGCAAGCCTTAGTAAACTCAGGTTCCCAGCAGCTTTGTCACTTATGCTGCTTGCTGAATAATGTGACTGCCACTGCCAGGACCTAGGGATAGAGACTGAGGTAGACAAATGAATTTGGCAGACAAATCTTGTATGCCCCCTATGTGTGCTATGATAGATGGCACTAATGTCTTCATTCTTGGGGGTTGCCTCCATTTACACCCCTCCCTTTGACACCCCAATTTTGGATATTTTTTTATAGATGTGCTTTTTTTCTTTCTTTCTCTCTTTCTTTCTTTCTTTCTTTCTTTCTTTCTTCCTTTCTTTTTGTTTTTGCACATGACTCTTTCGCACCCTTGTCCTGCCCTGCTACTTGCGTTTGAGGTATAAGATGGAGTACCTTTGCTCCTCTTCAAACATGGGCCTGTGACACAGTAGTGTCAGTTGCAGAAAGGAGCCAGACTTATTCTCCAAGCACTGTGCTCACTCATACTTTTCAGCAAAAGAAAATAGCTATGGTTGTAACATATGTATTCCAGACCTCTGGTTTGAAGGCCAAATCTGAGATGTTTCTTCCCATGTTTTCTGATCGGAGGCATGACAAAGCAAGACTGAAATCTGATCTATGCGTCTCCTGCATGGCAACATGTGTCTCCATCGGGCCCTAGCAAGGCCAGCGGAGGAGGGTTTACGCCTGTTGTCTCTTTGTTGCATGATGAACACTCATCACCTTCCTCCTGTATCCTGCCTCCTGCCTCCTCCTCTTTCCCTAAGTTTGAAAACAAAGCCACCCCATTCCCTACCCGGTTAGCAGAAAATCAACGTCCTGACAGTTGTGATCGCATGGAGTACTTTTAGATTATTAGCACTTGTTTTGACCTCGTTTGTGGGCGTGTTTGTATGTGCACATGTATAAGGTAGGCACATGCATCTTCTGTCCCCCCAAAGTGAGGCCTCAACAGAAGAGCAAATGCTGACTTTGTGCTTTTAGTAAATACATTTACAAACAAAGGTCCTTATTGGGTGGAATTATATTTGATGCAAATATTTGATCAGTTTAAAACTAGGTAATGTGCCAAGCTTTTTTGACTGCTCACCAGTGCCCTCTTAAAAAAAAAAAATTACCAGTAATGTTTCCTGTTTGTGTAACAAGGCATTCGTATTTGTGTTTGCATTACTAGTGGTTATTTCTTCTTAGTCCACTGAATGTTTCCATGTGCCTCTTGTATGCCAAATTTATTGTCATCTTTCATGTAGGGACCAAGTGGTTTGTTCATGGCAAACCTAAACTTATGACCTGCTGAGGCCTCTCAGAAAACTGACCACACTACCAAGATAGTGCTTCTAAAGAAAAGTAGGTTTCCTCCCTGATTTTGTAGCTGTTCTAAATATTTGTGTAAAAAGAGGGAGCTGAATGCCTTTATACAAAACCGATGGCTCCCGATGCTCTCCTTTCTCCTTCTGAAAATATTTAGACTTTGCTCATATTGTCAGTTACTTTGAAATCAGTTTTGATAAAGAGAGCAAAAAGCAGACTTGGAACAGATCCAAATTTTCCTATTCTCTATTAAGAGAGTCAGGTGTGAAAATCTTTATAGTCATTTTTTTTTTCAAACTAAAGTTGTACCTTTTAATATGTAGTCAATGCCCCTCTGCTTGGGCTTCAGTCCTGGGTCTTAACCAGCTGTCATGTTGTCTTTGTTGCCTGCCATTTGAGGCATTGAGTGCCCCAGACAGTGCCACTGGTGATAGCCAGGGAAAGACAAAATGAATTTGACTCTTGTTCTTAGTTATCAACTTCTCTGTATAAGGGACTACAGCAGCAAAGAGTCCTCCTGCCTGGGCATTATTGGGCCAGTTCACCCTCTTTAAATCAAACCCGAAATGGCTCCCGGATCTTATCCTAGCAGATTTAAATTGCTAACAATATTGTGGGCTGCATGCATCCGTTTTGCCCCACAATGTGTTTTTTCTCTCTGATCCCAATTTCTGCTGTCATTATCCTCTATTCGGTTTTTATTTATTATCCTCTCTCCATTTATACAATAGTATGGAGGGATGCCATTTGTCATTTTCCAAAACACTTTTTCCAGCCTTTATGGCTGAGTCCCATTTTTCTTCTCTTTCAAATCGTTGTGCTTCAGCCTTTACCTGTCACTGCCTGTACTTTGCAGCCTGTCCCCATCAGTCTGGGGGCTCTCTCATCTCTCACTTACCCTTCCTGGTGCTTCATGTATCCCTGCTTAGCTCTGTTGGAGTTTTTGTCTTATTCTTCTCACTGGACTTTAAGAATTCCTTCAACAACAGAAGTGTGGCTTTCCTTTCTTCCTTTTCTGCCTGCAGTGTTCTGCATACATAGTAGACACTCAGTACAAAAGTTTGATGACAAGAGTTGCCTGCACTTAGATTTCTCTTTTTAATAGGGTGAACTAGAGGTTTTCTTTCTTTCTTTTTCTTTTATTTTTCTTTCTTCCCCTGACAAATTTCACATGTTTTGAAAATTATATGAGATTAATTATAAGAGATACACCTGAAAATTCCAAGTCTGGTCTGTTGAAATCATTGAGAATATCAGACTAAAAGTCATGGAGCTGTATCATAAATAATAGGCTCTCTTTCAGGATGTTGTAGTCAATATAGTGGCCAAATTGTATTTGAGTTAATAAAACTGGAAAAGTGGTGAATTCACTCTGCTATTATCTCATTAATAAGAGTTCAGTTGTATATCCTTGTCTAGGTTTATCTTGTCTTACAGTGGGTATTCAAAAATGGCCGCCAGAGGACATGTATAAATACAGGCACCTGTTTGCCCAGGGTTGGGAACTAGAAAAAAAAAATGTCTGGCTACACTTTGTCTTTTTACTTTATTTAACTGAGGGTTTATTTAGAGATGAGTGTTAAAAATCTCTTAATCGCCACACCCACTAGACGTCTTGTTAAATCATCTTCTGTGGCCAAAAGGGATGACCCAAGATAACTTTAAAAAGATAAGCGGTACCCAGGAAATTGTCCTGCCTATGACTTTGATCGCCCTTCATTATGACCGTTTAATAGTGAGTTTTCCACCTGTCTGGTATTTGGAGGAAAAGAAAGGGCATTTTTAGTAAGCCTCTCTGCAAGATGGTATCAGTGCAGTCTTCAGGGTGTCATGACAGATGACAGAGGAAAACATTTTTGATTTTTATTAAACAGAACATTACTTACAGAAAGCCATTGTTGAGAATTAGTTCCCACATCATATAAATATCCATTAACCATTCTAAATTGTAAGAGGACTCGGTGTTGCTATGTGCAAGGTACTCTCCTGGGAGCCTTTCTGCATAGCAATTAAAGGTGTGCTATTTGTCAGTAGCCATTTTTTGCAGTAATTTAAAGACCAAAGTTGTTTTACAGCTGTGTTACCCTTAAAGGTTTTTTTTTATGTATTAAATCAATTTATCACTGTTTGAAGCTTTGAATACCTGCAATCTTTGCCAAGATACTTTTTTATTTAAAAAATAACTGTGTAAATACTACCCTGTAATATTATATATACTTAATAAAACATTTTAAGCTATTTTGTTGGGCTATTTATGTTGCTGCGGCGGCAGACCACAAGCAGATTTCTGAGAAATTTTGTTTTTAGTACATTTTTCTAGTTCTAAAAATTCTATGTAATAGAAAGGATGATTTTTAAAAAGAATTTTTTACTTAATAGTTTAAGTGTAGTCAATATAGGAATCTTCAGAGTTTTAATTAGAAGTTTAAAACAGATTTGTGTTATGGGTATAAACATCATGAGAAAACAGAGTCCTGGGTTCTAATCCTGGCAGTACTACTTCCTAGCTAAAGACCCCAGCCAAGCATTTGGCCTCTACCTCTGAAGGGCAAGACTAGCCCCTGCCCAAAATGAAATGTATGGTTTTCCATTTTAATTTTTCCTCCACTAAGCTGTTTTGATTGCAATTAAAGAAAACTCAAATCTAAGTGGGAGGTTCGGATCTTTTGGCCAATGTAACCTGAAAATTCAGCTACTATAGCTGGAATCTGGACCTCTGAGCTAGTCAAGGGGCTGGGACCCTGCCGTGTTTCAGCTTTCCTCTTGATGGACCCTGCCTTCCTAGTTCCATGTGAGACTGAAGGGCCTAACAGCCAGTTGAAAAGAATGTACATATTAGCTGTGTGTCTTATTGCTGTGATGAAATGATTAACTCAGTTGAAGGATGAGAGGGTTGATTTTTGACTCACAGTTCAAGGTTTACAGTCCACCCAGTGGGGAAGTCATGGCATCAAGGTCTTGAGGAAGCTGGCATATGGAATCTATAGTCAGGAAACAGAGTTATGAATGACTGTAGTCAGGAAACAGAGTTATGGATGACTGTAGTCAGGAAACAGAGTTATGGATGACTGTAGTCAGGAAACAGAGTTATGGATGACTGCTATTGCACAGCTTCCTTTCTCCTTAGTCTTCACCCAGCAGTTAAGATGGGTCTTTCCATCTCAGCCTAAATGTAGATAATCCCTCACCGAACAGACACACCCAGAGTCTTCTCTACTGAGTGCTGTTAGATCCAGCAAACTGGTGATATGAACTGTCACAGTGTACCTGTCTCTAAGCCACTGAGGCCAAGCATGTCTTGCTCTGATTTGGCCAGACCCTCATCCACACACAGCCTGGAACAGAGGTTGTGGGCTGTCTCCACGGTGCATTAACCCAGCTGGGAGTTGGAGAACAGAGGGTAAATTCTCTTGAAGCAGAACTGGGTAGTTACCAGACAATTGGAGTCATTAGACTTGAGGCCCAGGTTCCCAGTCAGTGCCACATCCCTTCAGGTCCTTCTTACAAGTCTACATTACATGTGTGATTGTCGACCTTTTAAATGGAAAATAATATTTGGCAGCAAAGTACCATCTTGTTCCCTACATCATAGGCAATTTAATTTCTATGCACTTAGGAGGACTTTCTCATTCTCAGCAGGAGTAACTAATGGAATTCAGAAAGCATTTAATGGCCTGCCTCCTGCACTGAAAGCTGCTCCGTGAAGCCCAGAACTGTACTCAACCTGATTAGAACTCCCACTGACGTGTAGGCTTCAAGTGTAACGGGGCTTCACTTTTGCATGGCACCCTTCCACCCAAGGCCTCCGGTTTGACAACTTTACAAAACAATGGATTAGGGTAATATCTGAGGTGGCCCACTTGGCGATATTTGCCTTGTGGGAACTCACACAGCAGGCTCTTTGTAAGCATCAGGTTCGGTACTCACCTCCTACATCAGAGGGGAATGAAGTGTTGAACCCGAGGCACAAAAAACTGGGCTGCTTATTTAATGTTGAAGACAGCACTATAGGCCACATTGAACTCTAGTTGTTAATCAGTTGTGTACAGTTGGTGAGAAGGTAACAGGCCTTCATCTCCATAGTAGCCAGGTGTAGGGAAGCAGATATCTTTACCCAATTTGGGTGATAGTAAACATTCCTCAAATTAATGTTCTGCAAATCTGAAGGCTGAGGCGTGGTGACAGCATACCACTTTTGCAGTTTTTGTGATATGTGCACTTGCTCTCTGTGGACAGGTGGTGAACACACTAGCATTGCAATAGGCTTTCTGAGAGCCTATACTTAAAACAAGCGCATTGTGTCATAGAGCCATTATCCAAACACCCTTGAAATACACTTTGTTCTTTGATACAGAGTCTCACTATCAAACTTGCTGTGTAGACCAGGCTGACCTTGACCCTCATGATCTTCCTGCTTCAGCCTCCCATGTGCTAGAATTGAGTACCCACACCCAGCTAATTGCTAGAGATTGCTTTCTTCTTGTCTAGAAATCCCTTCAGTTTGAAAGGACAACCTAGATGCTATTAGGCTTTTTCAATAAAGGGTAAGAGGACTCAGCCTTGCTAAGAGCAACTGATCAGTCCCCAGAACTTTGACCTCCAATGCCTCTTTGCAGGAATAGCTGCCAATCACTTAGGTGAGAGTCCTGTGTGGACTACCCCTGAACCCCACTTCCTAGACAACCCTTTCTAGGAAGGCTTCTCATGCTCTTCTGGGAGTTCCACCCCCAGCTCAATTGGGAGTTTTCAGAAAGTGATGTTTATAAGCCTTCCATTTGCAAGTTAGCAAAGGTGTGTAGTTAATTACCTGAAGAAACCTTTTTTCACTCCTGTGTTATTATCTTGATGGTCTCACAGTTGGATGGGCTGGATACATGTATAATCTTTAGTGTGATAATCATAGATTCAGTAAAGCCAATGTCCTTCATCATTTGCCTATTGATAGAATCGGTTCTAGTAGCAGCTATTGCTTAATGTCACAGAATAGATTATCCTGGATCAGGCTGCAGATACCAATCCAGTATACTTCTCACCTACGATGTATAAGAAGGTCCAAGGTTTAATTTAATCACCTCTTGGATCCTAAGTAAGAAAATATTTGAAACATCTAAAAATAACGTTTTGCATATCTTCACATTTCTGCTCAAAGCTGTCCAACAAACTGTAGAAGTTTTATGCTTTAAGCCCATTGACTGTGGAGCATTTAATTGCCTAAAAGAATTGAGCTTTAAAATTATACAGTTTTTTTCCAAGTACATGTTTTTTTTTTAAGCCAGATGTAGTAAAATTGAATATTCTTGTATTTGTGTGCCTTGGAAAAAATGTAAAATATGTATGTACATTCTTCAAGAGAAACATCCGACTAAGGGATTTCACTGAAATAGTCGACCACATCCAATCCTTGGGCTTCTAGATACAAGAGTTTTGCTTCATTGTGTAGATAGACTAGTGTCTTAGGGTTACTGTTGCTGTGATGAAAACACAATGACCAAGCAACTTGAGGAGGAAAGCATTTATTCAGCTCAGCATCCATAGCACAGTTCATCATCAAAGGAAGTCTGGACCAGAACCTGGAGGCCGGAACTCATGCAGAGACCAAGGAGGGATGCTGCTTACTGCATTGCTCCCCATGACTTGCTCAGCTTGCTTTCTTTTTTTTTTTTAATTTTTAAATTTTTTGGTTTTTCAAGACAGGGTTTCTCTGTGTAAAAACCCTAGCTGTCCTGGAACTAGCTCTATAGATCAGGCTGGCCTTGAACTCCCAAAGATCCACTTGCCTCTGCCTCCCAAGTGCTGGGCCTAAAGGCATGTGCCCAGCAAAAATCCAGGACCACCAGCCCAGGGATAACCTCACACCCTGGATCCTCCCCCACCAATCACTAATTAAGAAAATGCCTTACAGCCTGGCACTGGTGATACATGCCTTTAATCCCAGTACTTGAGAGGCAGAGACAGTCAGATATCAGTGAGTTCGAGGCCAGGCTGGTCTACAAAGCAAGTTCCTGGATAGTCAGGACTGTTACACAGAGAAACCCTATCTAGAAAAACATACAAAAAAGGAAAGAAGAAGGGAGGGAGGGAGGGAGGGAGGGAGGGAGGGAGGAAGGGAGGAAGGGGAAGGAAGGAAAATTCTTTATGGCCCCGTCCTATGAAAGCATTTTCTCAATAGAGGTTCCCTCCTTTCCAGTGACTCTAGCTTGTGTCAGGCTGACATAAAATTAACAGCACAACTGGACTCAGTAGCAAGTCGAAAAAGAGTTTCTGGGGTTCTCATAAGCATCCAGTTCTGCTAAGGAGGTCTTAGAACAGAGTCTTCCTCGGCTGGTGAGACTCCAGAGTGATCCCTCACCACTCATCTGCCTTCATGTGTCTTAATGAGGCCCATGTTGCCACTCATGGTTTCCTCATGTGACTCCCGCTTGTTCCTCAAAGGACAGGAACGTGACATCCCATCATCATAGCCGCATGTACAATGAATAGGTGGGTATGGAGAGAACAGCACAATGCCAGGCTAACACCCCTGTGCACAGCCTTCCCCAGTTCTGATCCACACAACTGAGATGCAGAGGTTGATACATTAATTTGTAACAAACAGTTGTTTTTCATGTTTCCCCTGAGAGACAAAGCCACCACAATTTCACTAGGTATAGAAAACAAATTTGTTTTGTAATGAAATGAGGACGAGATTCCTGAATTCACACTTTCTAGGACCATAGATGCTGTGTAGATCAATCGGCCTTGTTCCTCCTGGGCATTTTAATTCTTCCAGCTGGAGATTAAAAAGAAGGGATGGTCTCTCTAGGCAAAAAGGGAGAGAGCAGCATGTGTTTTTCAAAAGACTCAGTAAGATAACAGATTTTTTAAAAGCTAT